CTGAAATATCGTGTTCGGGGGTTTTCTCGCACGCTGAGTCCAAATCTGGTAGCGCCGATGTCGTCCGCGGGCCCCCGGGGACGTCATCGGGGACCTCCCGAGCACGCCGATGACACTCCCACGACAAATACTCCAAACGTCGTGTGCACACGGGCTGGTGCATATTTCTTTAAAGTCGCCAAATATAATTACTAGGCATTGTTATTGACAAAGAGGCTGATCCCTGGTCGCGGAAGCGATGTGCGATTCCGTTGTTTTGTGATTTTGTTATGTTGGCAATTAATTATCATGGGGAAGTAATTTTCAACTTCTTTCCTCCTTAGTTTTTTTTTTGTACCCATTTTGCCCATTTACTCGACGCCGCTCCTCGCGCGTACGAAATATACCTCAGTTCTACGATGCCGTTCTCATGCGCAGGCTTGCCAGCGCACAGACTGCAACATGAGGCGTTTTAGAAGCAAGCGCTCATTTAATTTTAACTTTGACCTCAGTTATCTTTCAAAGGGTAATAATTGCTCGACAATTAGTTTCGCAGCAATTTTTGTTGTACTCACATCAGAACAACATATCTCTGACTCACATTAACCCTGTAAACTTTACCATTGGGAAGGTTGGATCCCCATAAGTTGGACCGTGATCTCCCAAACTCCTGGGGGCTACTCGACTCGATTGTTAAGGCTTCGCCCATTATTTTTATTCAGATTCTTTATTTCTTGTTGCTTTAAGGCTCAGCCAATTATTAATAGCAAATCGCCCATCATAATAGTTTATTATCCTGATCTTCACTATTGTCACATGGCACTTCCCTGGCGTTGCCGCCTGAAGCCAAACAAAGATGCACGGGACAGGAAGCATCCCCAAAGGATCACATCCTGGACAAGCGAGGCGGGATTGCCTACCCCAGGAAAGAATCACATCCCGCGACTCGTGGTTAGTCAAGTCAAGACCACGATATGCCGGTGGGTGTGCCGTAATTATTGCTCTCCCCCTTTGCCGTGCCGCGTCCCCTACCCCTCTCCTCCTCCCCACCGCGCATTTCGCATTTCCCGCGCCTTTATGGAAACGTAAACAAACAGTGCAACTCACTCGGTGTCACCATCAGCGTTTCTGCCAAATACCGATAATACCTACTCATAAAATTATTGATCATAGGATTTTAACTAGAATTTTAGAGTGGACATCGCCGCTTTTCGTTATTAATCGCAAGGTATAGTGCTTACTTGTTTCCGGTCCGGAATATTGAATTGTTCCATGCCGGTTATTGTGGTAGGAGGTTAGTGTTCTCCTATGGCTCAAGGTTTACACGCACAATTAAGTTGTAAGTTAGTTTTTGAGGCCGAGTAAATGATGCCCGTGATGTAAATAACTTGGCTCTCTGTCAGCTTTGTTGAAAAGGTGTTGAATGGGTAGACTCCTCCAATCCATGCAGTAT